CCCCATTCCCACTGTCCCATTCCCACTGTCCCATTCCCACTGTCCCATTCCCATTGCCCCATTCCCACTGCCCCATTCCCACTGTCCCATTCCCACTGTCCCATTCCCACCGTGCTCCCATCACTGCCCTGTTCCCCTTGCCTTGCCTCTCCCTGCCTGGGGAGGGTGTGCAGCGGCCAGGGAAGCCAGGCTGAGCCCCCCCCCTGCCTGCACTCTGGAAGTGCTTTTACTGCTCTGTGCCTTTGAACAGTTCAATGAAACCTCCGAGCTTTTTGGGGCAGGACACCGATACACAATTCCCATATGGAATTCCCCCACCGAGCTGTCACACACTGGCAGCACCCGCACCCAGCGGCCCCGGCTGCAGCGCCAGCACATCCATCAAATTCTTGGTTATTTTCCCATCTGGGAGCGTTTCAGAGGGGCTCATTCCACAGCCCTTTTTAACACCATGGTGCCCGGTGTGCCTCCCCGCCCCCGCCTTGTCGCTGGTTGTTTTATCGGGCTTTGTGGGGAGCGCTGGGACTCCTCGGGACAGCTCTGCTGCTGCTGCCTTTTGTCCCCGAGCACGGAGCCTCTCCGGACAATGGCAGGAAGCCCCGGGCAGCCCGGGAAAGGTGCTCGGCGAGGGCCGCATTGTTCGGGGCCGATAAACTCCGGAAAGCCGGGCGCAGAATGGAAGGAAATGTCCGAAAGCTCGGGCCCGGGGCTGCGGGGCTGAGCGCAGGGTTCCCACGGCCCGGCCGCGGGGTGATGATCCTGGAAAGCTCCGGGCAGCCCCGGGAGCACGGGATGAGCTGGCGGCGGTCGGGTGGATGCGGGGCGGGATGCGGGGCTGGCCGTGAGCATCTGCAGCGCTCGGGAACGGGTGGAATGCTAAACCCCCGAGCTGTGCTGATCCCGAGGGTCTCCCTGCCTGGTGCCAGGCTTTGTGGCTCACAGGCTGTGCTGGTGCTGCCCTGAGCTCATGGCACATCCCAGATCCCCTTGGTTTGTCCAGGCTGCCCTGGAGCGGTGCTCAGAGAGCGGACTTGGAAACCGCAATGATATCATTCAATTAGAGATGAACTGTTCTGATTTCTCCTGCTTGGAGACCGCTGGGAACTCCTGATTGATTCTGAGTGCCCAGTGTGGTTCTGGGGGGCTCTTTGGGCTCTTTGAGCAGCAGTGGGGATGTGAATGTCCTCCCTGGAGGAGGTACCACTGTCAGCACCTGGAGGGCACCCGGGCCACCAGCCATGGGCTCTCCTGGGATGCTCCAGGAACACCACGGGCTGAAGGTGGCAGAGGATGAAGGAGGTTCCTGTGCCAGGAGCTTGTCCTGTGTCGTTGCCACGATGAGGAAGGGGCCCTATGGGTGCTGTGGGTCTGGGCTGTGTGGTGTGGGGGCCGTGGGGAGGCTGGTCCTGCTGCTTGGTGACACAGAGTGGCACCGTGGGCACATCCTGGCATGGTGACAGACACTTCTTCTGTTCCCCCCCAGCTGAGTGGAGCAGACCCTGAGTGCAGCTGTGACGAAGGGGATGAGACCTCCCGCAAGAAACGCAGCAGGAGCCTGTAAGTGTCACATGGGGGGTGGCATCAGGGTGTGCCAGGGCTGTTTGTGGGGTCAGACACCTCAGCCGAGCCCTGCTGGTACCAGGAGCCCTCAGCATTCCCATCTTTCCCCCCGACTTTTTCCAGCAGCAAAGCCATGAACTGAGGTCTCACTTCAGATGGAATTTCCAGGGAGGGTGGTGGGGTGTGCTGGGGCACTGCACCCCCTTCCACTGAGCCTGGACAGGGTGAAGACACTGGCTCTTGGGAGAAACAGCTTGTCTGGGTTCAGGGAGAGGACATGGAAGCGGTGAAATCTGAGCTGGGGGCCTCCTTCCTGCCGGCCCCATGCCGGGAGGAGGGATGGGGAGATGGAATGGGGAGATGGAATGGGGAGATGGAAAGGGGAGTTTCCCATCATGGGTCAGGCTCAGCCCTCAAGGCACAGGGAGCAGGGACCACGGGGACCCCCGAGGGACCCTGGCATCCCCTCTGCTGCTCCCGGTAAGGCTTTGGGGTGCCAAAGAGTGTGTGTAAGCAGGGACAAGGCAGTCGTGGCCTTCACTGTCCTCAAGCACAGCTGCAGCTGAGGCAGGGCAGGTGCACGAGTGAGGATGCTCGGGACCGAACTCCTCGAGAACGCGGATCCGGCCGGGTGCCGGGGCCAGGGGGTGCCCGTGGCTGTGTGTCCCGTGTCCTGCGCCGCGTGTGCCGGGCAGCCGGAGGAGCCACACGTGCTTTGAGCGGCTCAGGGTGCGGGAGCCGCCCGGCCCCGCCGGCTGTGCCAGCGAGCGGCACTGTCGGCCCGCGCTGCCTCATCGCCGCCGCCTATTTTTAGCTCTTTTTATTATTTCCACCCCCCGGCGCTGGAAATGAAAACGAAGCCCTTGCAGCAGGGCTGTCCCCCCGGGCCCGTGGAGCGCCGGGGGAGCGGGGCTGGCGGGGTCAGGGGCGGATGCGGAGCGGGCTCCGCGCTCACCTTGAGCCGGCGGGGGATGCTCCGGGGAGCTCCGGGCAGCGCCATTGGCTGTCCCGGCCGGCTCCGGGAGTATTTATGGGGCGGGGGCCGCGGGTCGGCACTCGCTGCTCTCCCGGCACACGCTGCCGGCCCCCATGCACCACGCCATGGTGGACTTCTCCGAAAAATACCTGGAAAGGTAGGACACCCGGCATCTTGCGAGGAACGGGATGCGCTGTCCAGGGGATGGTTTGGAAGCAGTGAGGGGTGATGGTGCTGGACCTCGCGGTCATGCTGGGGTGCCGGGGCAGATCACTTTATAGAGACAGCTCCGGAGTGAAACCAGCAATTTTTAAATGGAATTATTTTTTGCTGTGGCGTTTATTGTGCAGTGTGGCAGCAGCTGGGGGCTGTGCATGCCCAGGGTCGGTGCCGCTCCTTTGCAAGGGTGTGCAAAGAGGAGCAGCACGTGGAAGTTGGGGAACTTCCTTAGGAGGTGTTTGCCTGGTGTGTTCCAGCTGGAAAATCCACCCAGGAGCCAGGACCACCTGCCTGGTGTTTTCCAGCCTGCCTTGGGCTGAGGGCTTTGCTGTGGAGGTGACCCACGTGTGCCACACGAGGGGTGCTCAGTGCTCTGCCAGCCCTGCTGCCCTGGGAACTGGGAACACTGCTGAGCTTGTTGCTCCAGGCTGTGTGGGGTGGCTCATCCTCTGTGCCGGTGTGTCCCCGGCTGCCAGCGGTGCCAGTGATGGGAGGCAGATGGTGCCTGGAGCTTGAGGATCCGCGTTTGGATCCGCTTTTCCCACACTTGCAGGTGCCTGGCAGCGGTGGGACTCGTGTCCTGCTGGGGTCAGGGGGTGTGAAGGCAGTGGAACTGTCCGTGTCCATGAGGGTATGAATGGCACCAGGGATTGGGGGGAACGATTGCCCTCTGCAATAATTCTGTGGCCCATTGGGCTGAGCCCCGGGGTTGTTGCACCTCTTTTATTTTTCCCAGTGGTTGCTGTGTTTTACCCTCCTGGGGCTGGAGAGAGCTGTAGGTCTGGAGAGCATCACCTGGGCTGGGGTGGTGCATCCCTGTCCTGAATCCCTCCTGTCCCCCTTGTGTCCCTGGGCATGGCTTGGCCAGGCAGAGGTGGCTTCTCTGAGCATCCTTGCTGTCTGTAACATTAAATTTGCAGAATCAGAAAGATCAAGAAGGGAAAACAGAAGCCTCTTGCCTAATGAGATGTTGTCAGATAAGGAGTTTCAGATTCAGAGGGCAGTCCATGAGTGCTGAGAAAAGACTGATGCTCTTACGTTTCGATAAATACGTTATATCCACAGGCAGTGTCTGTGTGCACTTTATGATGTGATCAAGGAGAGGTATTTTAAGTGGAAAAAATTAAAAACACAGATGGAAGCTGTAATGTAATTAAGACAGAATTCATTATACATGCTTTTTAATGAACGACAGATCACTGTCATTGGGAGAAGACCGCCAGAAAAGGGAGAAACAAGGTCCAAGCGCTAAGAGGGCATTGCTGCACGTGTTGGGTTTTTGGGAGGTGTTTTTGGTACCGTGTTGGGTTTTTGGGAGGTGTTTTTTGCACTTGTTGGGTTTTTGGGAGGTGTTTTTGGTACCGTGTTGGGTTTTTGGGAGGTGTTTTTTGCACTTGTTGGGTTTTTGGGAGGTGTTTTTGGTACCGTGTTGGGTTTTTGGGAGGTGTTTTTTGCACTTGTTGGGTTTTTGGGAGGTGTTTTTGGTACCGTGTTGGGTTTTTGGGAGGTGTTTTTTGCACTTGTTGGGTTTTTGGGAGGTGTTTTTGGTACCGTGTTGGGTTTTTGGGAGGTGTTTTTTGCACTTGTTGGGTTTTTGGGAGGTGTTTTTGGTACCGTGTTGGGTTTTTGGGAGGTGTTTTTTGCACTTGTTGGGTTTTTGGGAGGTGTTTTTGGTACCGTGTTGGGTTTTTGGGAGGTGTTTTTTGCACTTGTTGGGTTTTTGGGAGGTGTTTTTGGTACCGTGTTGGGTTTTTGGGAGGTGTTTTTTGCACTTGTTGGGTTTTTGGGAGGTGTTTTTGGTACCGTGTTGGGTTTTTGGGAGGTGTTTTTTGCACTTGTTGGGTTTTTGGGAGGTGTTTTTTGCACTTGTTGGGTTTTTGGGAGGTGTTTTTGGTACCGTGTCCCCGCCGTGCCCGGCTGCAGTGACCGCGCAGCGCCACGCGGGGGCAGCACGGCCCGCCCAGCCCTGCCCGTGCCGGGGGCTCCGGGGGGCTCCGGGGGCTCATTTTCCCACTTTGGCTCTTCCCAAAAATCTGTAAAACTCTGAGTTCCTGGCAGCTCCCTGTGGGCAACAGCCAGCCTCGTGTCCGTGTGTCCGTCCGTCAGTCTGCCCGGAGCGGGGGGACCTCGCCCCAGCGCCCTGCGCTGCCCATCCCGACCGCCCCCTTTGGGGATGTCCCCACGGAAATTCCTTTGGGGATGTCCCCACGGAAATTCCTTTGGGGATGTCCCCACGGCCGTGCCCCGCACGGGCTGGCACCGCGGACGGGTGGACACGGTGGGGTTTGAGTGTGGGGGTGCTCCGGCAGGGGGGACCCAGGGCAGCCCCCTCCCCGCTCCCCAGCCCGCTCCGCCTTCCCGGGATGCCTGCGCTCTATAAATAGCCCTCGTAAATCCAAGCCGCGATTATTTTTCCCCGCCGTCTCTTGAAAGGCCCCACTATCCGCCTCGGCGCTGATTTTTCCACCTTTCCTCAAGTTTCCCCAGCAACGGCAGAGCCGTCCCAAAGAGCGGCGGGGCTGGCACAGCCTCCCCTCGCTCGCCGCTCCCCGGCCGCCCCACGCCGCATTTAAAGCTCGCTGAGCCCGCCCACTTCCAGCTGCTCGCCACGGCTGGAGCCGGGCTGGGAGCGCTGGGGCTGTCCCCGCTGCTCGGGCTGTCCCCGCTGTCCCCGCTGTCCCCCAGCCATGCCCTTCTTTCGCGACCCATCCAAGCCGCAGCCGCTGGAGTTCCACGCCGAGATGCTGCTGGCGGTGCAGAGGCCGCACACGGGCAGCCTGCAGCGCCGGCACACCATGAAGGAGTAGGTTTCGGGTTGGGTTTTGGGTTAGGGGCTGGGTTAGGTTTTGGGTTAGGGGCTGGGGGTCCCCTCGCCCACCCGCTCACGCTCGCTCTTCTCTCTAGAGCCAAGGACATGAAGAACCGGCTGGGGATCTTTCGGCGGCGGAACGAGTCCCCCGGGGCCAACCCCTCCGGCAAGCTGGACAAAGTGCTCAAATCCCTCAAGTAGGTGCTGCGAGGGCGGCGTGGGGATGGGGACGGGGGGATCTGGGGACAAGCTGTGCTCTGGAGCTCCTCACCTCCAGGGAGGTTCTGTTCCCCCCGTTTGGGGAAGCTGTGGACAGAGTTTTTGTATCTGGAGGAGCATTTCAAATATTTTTTGGCTGAAAACCTCCTGCTGGAGGGTGAGAGATCCTGCCTGCGCTGCGGCACCGCAGCAGCTTGGGCTGGAAATTTACCTGAGAGCAGCGTTCTCTCAGTGCCTGTCTACAGAACTTTTACTGGCCAGAGGATGGTTTGAAAAACCACTTTACTCTGGAGATGCTCCAGCAGCTGGAGATGAGCCTTCCCTGCTCCTGAACGGGGCAGCTGAAATCCGGCGTTTCCACAGCTCCGCATCACCCGGAGCTTCTCCAAGTCTTCCTCAGACACCCCAAGTGCTGCAGCTGCCTGCACAGACCTCCTGGGGTTGCATTTTCTTCCTGCCAGCCTAAAGGCAGCGGTTTCCTTCTGGCAGAGCTGCTGTGGTGCTGCCCAGGAGCTCTGCCTTCAGCTGCTGTGCCAGTGCCAGCACCAAGGTGGGAGCCAGGGCACACAGAGCTTTATCCTCTGGAAACGTTCAGCAGGAGGCTGATTTGGGAGCTGGGAGCAGCCGTGCTGGGCTCACAGCCTGCCTTTTAATCCGCTGGAAATGTTTAGCAGGCAGGGAAAGCGACTTTTGCTGCTGAGCTCTGCCAACGTGCCGTCCTTTTTCCACAGGCCCACTCCCGAGGAAGCGCTCAAGTGGGGGGATTCCCTGGAGAAGCTGCTGCTGCACAAATGTGAGTGTGTGTCCATCCCTTCCACTTGTGTTTGCTGCCAGGGGAATATCCAGACACGTGCCTGGGTGAAGCTGGGATTTCCTCTGTTAATCCCTTCCGGTGTTTGGGGATGCACAAAGTGAAATTAGCCTCTCCCTTGTGTGCACCCCTCCTGCTCCTGCCTGGCCAGGGGGGAACTCGGTGACAGGGGCTGGGGAGAGCTTCAGGTCGGGGCTGCAGCCTGGGGAGGAGGAGGAGGAGGCAGTGATCCATGTCTGTGCCCAGTTTGGGGCTGTGCAGGGGGTCCATGGAGCAGAACTGCTCTAGAACATCCCCAAGAGGGGAGGACAGCCCTTCCCAGGCTCCCCATCCTACACACAGCCAGGGGGGCATCCTGTGCCCCCTCCAGCCCAGCCTCCCTCTGGCTCTTGGTGGGGGTGTGGGTTCAGCTCCTGGTGCTGCTCTTGCTGCCTGTTTGCACAAGGGGTTTTTTGGGCAGTTTTTTGGGCTGCAGCTCTGCAGGAGCAGAGGGTCTCTGGGGCTGTTCCCGTCTGTGAGCAGGAGTAGAGCCGTGTCCCTGTCCCCCACAGACGGGCTCGCCGCCTTCAGGGCCTTCCTGCGCACCGAGTTCAGCGAGGAGAACCTGGAGTTCTGGCTGGCCTGTGAGGAGTTCAAGAAGATCAAATCCCAGTCCAAGATGGTCTCCAAGGCCAAGAAGATCTTCGCTGAATACATTGCCATCCAGTCCTGCAAGGAGGTGAGGGCTGGCTCCACGCTGGGGTGCGGCTCCCGGCGCGGTGGCTGCCTGGGGAGCCGCTCACCAGCCCCTGTTCCTCTGCCCACAGGTGAACCTGGACTCCTACACACGGGAGCACACCAAGGAGAACCTGCAGAACATCACCCGCAGCTGCTTCGACCTGGCGCAGAAGAGGATTTATGGGCTCATGGAGAAGGACTCGTACCCCCGCTTCCTCCGCTCCGACCTGTACTTGGACATAATCAACCAGAAGAAAGGCAGCTCCCCGCTGTAGGCCCAAGGACTGTCTCGGGGCAGGCTGGGAGCTGTGTGTTTACATGGAATTGGGCAGTGGAGGCCTTCCTGGGAGCTGGTGGGAGCTCGTTGTCCCGCTCCGTACGGACACAGGGCAGCTGAAGGAGCTCGGGGCCGAGGGGACCGACAGGCCGAGCAGTCTGGTACTGCTGCAGCACCCCGTCCCACCATCGCTGGTACGACGCCTTCGGGGTGGCCCCGGCGTGGATTTAGCCAGGAGGAAGCTCCCACGAGACTACTGTGAAGCACCTGTCCCGGCCACGAGCGCTGCTGGAAGGCGGAGAGCGAGCCCGGCTCGGCGAGGAGGAGGGCTTCTCGTGCAGGGCTCTGGCAAGGGGACAACAGCACCGACACAAACATCAAAACATCAGCCTGGATTAAACCTTGTGAACTGGAGCAGTCCCGGGATGCTGCTGTGCTTCCCTGAGCCGCGGGGCCGTCCCGGAGCAGCTCTGGCCGGAGCCCGGCGCTTCCCTGGCTCGTGGTGGGTCCCCCCGGGAGCAGCGAGAGCCGGGTCCTGGCCCTGCGCTGGGGATGTGCCAAGCACCCCCTCCTGCCCTCACCCCTGGTTTATTTATTGCCCTCCTGTAGCTGGACACGTTGCTGTGCGATAGGAAACCCCCGTGTCCTCCCCGTTCCCAAGTTACAAGTGCAATATTTGTGTGTGTCGCGGCCGAGTTCTCCGGCGGAGCGGATGCCTTTTTCTTTTTCCAGGTGTGTAGATTTTTGTAAGGCAGCAGGTTTTGTGTGCCAGACCCATTCCCTGGCAGCGGGCCGCTGGGGGAGCCTGGTGTAAATATCAATATATCCATGCCCTGACGACGGAGGGGTTGGTGATGGAGAAAAGCAACTCTGTGCAGCAGCCGCTCTCCTGACTCTGGATAACAATGCTGTGTTTGGGAAGCACTGCCTCCCAGTTTACAGTGCAAAGCATCTCTGCAGCTAGAAAAAAAACCTACATTGTCATGGTCATAGGTAAATAAAAGGAGAATATCATTTCTTGTAGCTGGCTTTTGTTCATGCCGTGTTTGTCAGCACCGCCGGAGCCGCGCGGCCCTCGCCTCGCTCAAGAGTGTAAAATCCTGTTACTGTGTGGCTAAAGAAGGGAAAATCTGGTTCCGTGGATTTCTGAGCTGTTCTTTATGATGGAGCAGCTGCCAGATGCTCCTGAGGCCAGCTGTGGGTGTAGGAGCAGAGTTTTGCCCAAAGCCAGACGGTTCTCAAGGACACAGCAGGGCACGAACCTCTGACCAGGGAAATGCCCAAACACACCTGAGACCTCCTGCAGCTCTGGGGCCCTCTGGGGACACACCAAAAACACCAAAAACAGCAACAAAAAGCCTTTCCAGGTCCATGCACAGCTTGGCAGGGCTGCTCCTCCCCAGCAAGGGCAGTGCTCTGGTGTGGGATGCGAGTGTTCTGTAAAGGCTGTTCAGGGTGTGTTTGGTGACCCTGCAGTGTCACCTGCTTGGGATGGCTCAGGGATGTGACTGGGGTGTCCCAGGGCTGGGCTCTGGCTGCCCAGAGTGCTGCTGCTGCTGCCCAGGGATGTGTGGCTGTCCCCTCTGAGCACTCCTGGGCAGGTGCTGCCTGTCCTGGGCTCATCCCGAGGATCAGGGATGTGGCAGCAGCTGCCTGTGGTGCCACAGCCAAAGGGAATTTCCCAGTGTGGAAACCGGTGCCTTCCAAAATAGGGAGGACCTTATCTCTGCAGATAATGAGGATTTATCTCTGGGCTAAAAATGAGTGGTTGCTGAGTTGCAAATAGTCACAACTCAGCCGTGTTTGTTGTGGGCAAACAGGGCAAAGTCCACCGAGGTGCTCCTGGCTCATCCATGGGACAAAGCTCACCCAGGGAAGGGATTGATGGGGGAAAATGGGAATTCTCACCAGAAAGAGCTGAAAGGTTCAAAAACTGATGTGATTCTGGGTGTGAAAAAGGTAAAACATCCTAAGGTCCTGAGTTTAACATGATGGTTCCCTCACACCCTCAGGGATGAGGAGGTTGGGATGAACAGAAAGCACTTGGAGAGGTGGGAAAATGTCTCACCTGTCCCAGGTGATGGCTTTGAAGCTTCAGGTGTCCCTCAGCTCAGTATTTCATCAGCTGCCTGACATGGTTGGCAGCCAGGAATGGGTGCTGGGGTCACCTGTGATTTACAAAAGCAAAGGAATCTCCAAATGTGGCAGCTGAAAATGCAGCTCAAGCTGCTGAGCACCTCTGGGATGAAGATTTATTGGGAGAAGGGATTGAGGAGTGTGGTCATCCCAGGTGAGCACCTGCAGCACTGGGGCTGTAAGGAGCCTCATTCCAGAGCTGGCTGGAAGCTGGAGCATAAACCTTTCTCACCTTGTTTCTACAGAAACAGAAGTTTGCCTTTTTTGCAGGTGTGTCCTGTGCCCCAAGGTGCTCCAGCACTGCTCAGCCTTTCCTGGGCTTTTCCAAGGCACCCATCCTGGAGCAGAAACCCAAATAAACACAACTTTCTACTGAGCAAAATCATTCCTTGGACCCCTGATTAGACAAATATTCTCAGAATAGAAGCAAGGCTGCTTCCCAGCCACAGACTAAACACAGCTCAGCAGTTTGATACTGAAACCACTGACACAAGAATTCCCTGCCTGGAGTAAACAGCTGAGCTGCTGTGACGGTCCCTTCACACTGCTCAGGGCTCCTGAGGCTTGTCAGGAGCAGCCTGAGCTCTAATTTGGGTGGCTGAGATGCCCAGGAGCTGTCTGGAGACACCTTGGGAACACCAGGAGGGGATGGAGGGCAGGCTTGGGCTGGCTTTGTTTGGGAACTTCAGCATCCTCTGGGTGTGATAAGGGTGAGAGGGTGCAGAGCGTGTTTGAGGGCTCTCGTCCTTCCTGGAGGTGACCCCGGGGCTGGGTGAGGGGTACCCAGCTCCCTGTCCTGCCCAGGGTGCCACAGATTCCCTTCCAGAGCATCCTTGGGTTGAGGCTGGCAGGACCAGCACCACCAACCTGTGCAGGACAATGTCACCCCTAAACAGTCCAAGGGAGCAAATACAGAGAAAGTTAAAGGCTTCTGAGGTAAAAATAAAACCAGGCTCAGAGGTCTCTGCCAAGGACACAAAGCCAGCTCGGCTGGGCCGGTGCCAGGGCAGGAAATGCAGCGGTGGTCGGAGTCCCCTGGTGCCTCCAGCTCATTGGGGAAGCATTGTTGTGTCCCTCTCATTGCTCATTTTCTGATTCCTGCCTGCATGAGGTCATTTTTACTCAGCCCATCCAGCTCACACATTCCCTGGAGCTGGAAAGTGAATAATGCTGAGTGCAGCCAGCCCCGAGGCCTGGGGAGGATGGGGGACAGGATGGTGAAAAATACTTTTATTCATGGCTGAGCAGGGCTGGGACACAGGGAGGGGATGAGGGAGAGCTGATCCTCAGAGTGACCCCAATCCCCTTGTGCAGGGAGCAGGGATGGAGCTGAGAACAGGATTCTCACCTGGGGAAAATCTGGGATCCCCCATTTCCCTCTGGGATCCCCCATTTCCCTCTGGGATCCTCCATTTCCCTCTGGGATCCCCCATTTCCCTCTGGGATCCCCCATTTCCCTGCTTTCCTCCCCTGGCAGAGGGAGGTGGGGGAGAGGAGGGAGAGCCAAGCAGGAGCAGGTGGGGGCTGTGGATGGAGTGTTTGCACAGGAGCCATTTGCAAGTAATTTCTTGTCCCTTCCTGAACTAATGGGACAATTATTTGGGGCCACACGTGTTTCTCATGGAAAGTTCCACCCAGGCCATGCGTCAGCTCCTCGGGAGAGCAGCCCTGCTGTCCCTAACGTGATTTTCTAGACAAAGACAAGCAGGTGAAACTCCTGCTCCTGGGCCTGGGGACAGCTGTGATGGGTCACAGAGCACCAAACAAACCTCCCAGGGCAGAAGGGGCTCACGAGCTGAATGAAAGCTGATCCCCAGAGCTCCTGGGAGTGGCTGAAGCTCCTGCTTGCTGGATGGAGACAGGCCTGGGGAACTCAGCTGCTTTTTTAACCCTGAGGGTCCCGTCTCCCCCAGTGCTCCATTTCTTGGGTGGGATTTTGAAACCCATCGAATGTGGCTCCTTCTCCTCCCATCCCCTCTGTTCTCTGGCTGGGGGTGCTTGGATGGGCATCCTCACGTCGGGGCTCAGTTAAGCTGGCCTCAGTGAAGTTGGGCTCAGTTAAGTTGGGCTCAGCTGGAGCTGGGCTCAGCCTGGGCAGGGAGGGGAGGCACCAGCCAAGGCTCACTGCAGGGTCCCCTGGCAGTGGTGCAGGAGCAGTGGCACCCAGCAAAGGGCTCCTGTGGCTTTCCTGCTCCTCTTCCTCCCCCTGGCCCTGCCCAGCACACTCTGCTGGCCCTGCCCTCACCCTGCCCCAGGCTCTGTCCTCAGAGCAAAGTGAGAGCTGGCAGGGGGGACTCAGGAAACACAACAAGAACCTGGGTCCTGCTCCCCAGAGAGTGTCAGGAAGGGAAATGGCTTCAAACTGAAGGCAGAGGATTAGGATATGGGGAAGGAATTGTTCCCTGGGAGGGTGGGCTGGCCCTGGCAGTGCCCAAGGGAAGGTTGGATGGGACTTGGAGCAGCCTGGGACAGTGGGAAGTGTCCCTGCCCATGGCAGGGGTGACACTGGATGAGCTTTAAGGTCCCTTCCAATCCAAACCAGTCTGGGATTCTATCAAACAGATTTTCTGGGGGTCCTGGGGAGGAATGGACACATTCAGAAATGTTGTTCACAGTCACTTTCAGAGGAGGATCCCTCAGATTTCCTTCACCTTCCTTCTCAAGGTGCAAATTTTCAATAATTGTATTTCAAAGAGCTGCTTGTGTTTGTGTTGTGAACCTGCATTTGAACTGGAGCAGAACTGCAAAGGAACAATGAAACATTTTGAACATCAGAAATGCAGAGGATGGAAAAAAAAATTACCCTCAATTTCTTTGGGCTCCATCCCAGCTCCAGGACAATTAATTCTGTGTTTCCATCGAACACACTGGATGTTCCCTTTACTGCAGCAACTGCAGAAGATAAGAGCCATGACCTGGCACCAACTCTGGGTGCTGAGGAATTTCGAAGCTCATTTTCTGATAAGAGCCTTCCCAGGGTGGTTGGAAACAGTCTCTTTCCATGGTTTCCTCTGCAAGGTCGAGTTGTTCAGCAAGGGCCAGCCCCCAGTAATGCTGACCAGACTGAAATTAGGGTGGGAAACAAGGCTGTGGCACTGCAGACCCTGGGGCTGCTCCCCCAGGAAAATCAGAGGGAAGGAAGGGAATTCAAGGTGTAAAACTGCTGAATGAAACTTTGTCCTTCTGCAAGGGGAAGGGGTTTCTCCTCCAGGGTTTGGGGTCACCTGCCCTGGCCAGCAAAGATTGGTTTGGCTGTGTCTGAAGCAGAGCAACCTTTGCTGCCTTTGGGCTGGATGGGAACCTGGGAATTGTGGAATAACACCTTCTCCACGCTGAATTCTGTCACCAAATCCAATCTGCACATCCAGGAGGGGAACAATCCTGCTCCCCTGAGCAGGGGGAGGAATGGGGAGCTCCTGGTTCCCCACCACGTGCTGCAGATCCATAACTCCATTTCCAGTCCAGGACTCAATTCCTTATCCCTTAAAGCAGCATCCTCCAGGCCAGAGCTGTCTGGGCTGGATGTCTGTGAGGAGCAGAAGGCGGCAGGACCTGCATGGTACCACTGAAAGGTGCTGGAAGAGTTCCACTGGCTGAGAAGTGTCCATCAGCTGGACCTGCTGCACCCCGAGCAGTGCAGGCTCCCCATTCCCACCTGCCCATCCAGCTGGAAAAGGACTTGGCATTTCCAGAGGAGCTGGAATTTGCTGGGAATTCACGCAGCAGAAGACAGGGAGTCCCCCGACGTGCCGAGCAGAAAGGAGAGCTGCTGTGCCTGGGCCTGTGAAGAAAGAGCCCCCAGAGGCTGTGAAGGCTGGGCTCACCGTGCTGGGGGCTGTGAGAAGAGGCAGCAGAACACCTGGGAGCCCAGGAGCAGCGCTGCAGGG